AGCTGGCACCGGCGGCTACTCTCCCAGGAAACAGTCCTCGTCCTCCATAAAATTCGTTGCACACATCTGTATATTTGGGTTGAACTGTTCTGGAACAGTGTTGTAAATACTACTTAACCACTGATTTCTAGTTGTGTCCTCTTTTGGAAGGCCAAACAAAGTAGTTTCGCTTTCACTACGAAACACACAGTGTCTCCATGACATGGCGGCGGCGGCAACAATACTACAGCGAGAATCAAAGTTACACTTTCTTTCTTTGCGTGAACATTTGGGCAAATTATGTTATGCAAATCTTCCCACACAGTGACGTAGACATGTGGGGGCGTGTTTAAACGAGGCGTTTTAGGAGGGTGTGGACGAGTCTTAACTTTTATAAAGAATATCTCTTTGGGTTTGAGACTTTAGTCTTTGCAACTTTAGGGATCTTATCTATTCACGAACAGCTTGTAACACTCCAAAGAGAAAGGAAAACTTGAAATCACATATGACCCCTTTAAAATATTTTTACTTGCTGTATTCTACATAATGCATTGCATGTGAACTTTTGTGCTACCACACATTTACAGTAGTTTAAATAACGTTGCCCACATTAAGCCCACAGGCTGCCAAGGGCTGGCCTGCACTCTCTTTCATGTGTCTTAATCACCTCCATAATGTTTGTTTCAGATTTCTCCCTCCCAAGCACTTGAACCACTGCCTGTATGTCACCAACACACCCTTGCACACCAGAGGTTAACGTGCAGCAGCGGGTGTTCCTGCGTTCAAATTGCTTTTTGTTACAGTATTGTTTTGTTAGTGGATTTAACTTATATAAACTTATATAAATGGTAAACACTGCACAGTCCTGGCACATTGTGAAGCTTATGCACTTTGTGTTGTTATTTGTAATTGCTTTTACAGTGAATGGTAATAGTAGATTGAGCTTTTAATGAGCTATTCTGTGCCAAAAACTGTATTAACTGTGGTACTATATTGCCTGACAATCATTCTTAAATGTTCAGCTTAATTAGTCCAGAAAGATTTTGAATTGTGTGACCTAAAATAGCAACATGTTTGTATGAATTTTCCATGTGCCATAGAATCTGAATCGAGTCTCAGTTTGAAGGTTGTTTTACGTTATTATAAAGTTTAGGAGAAATTAGCATGGAAGGACAAGTAAAGCCACAAAAGGTTTATTTTGGTGGCCTCTATAAGGTCTGATACCATCTTCGTGTCTGCAATCCTGAGGTCATTATCTTTCATCACAACATTTAGTAGGACAACAACTTGAAATGATCAGCTGATAAGGATAATTACACCTAAAACACACACTGAATCTTTGATGTTTTATCATTGTTTTTATCTAAAACATGTTTACTCTTGCAAAATGAAAGCACAGCCTTGTTGACAAGCAAATCAATGTCCGATCAAACCTGTCTGTATATTTAGTTTTCTTTTCATTCTCTTAACAGACATGTTTTATATTATGCCTTTAAACATTTGTTAGAACAATGGTGGGAAGTTTCTTTGGTGGGGACTTTCTTTTGCTAAAGAGTGTGTATTGTGTGTTCCCTCTGCTTGGCTGGGGAAAAGCCTGCTTTATGGCGTACTGTATTGTTGCTTGGAGCAGGCATAACGTCATTGCACCTGAATGGTGGTCATCAGTAGGCAGTTGCCATGGAAACCAAGCTCCATCACCGCAGCCATTACAAGCGAAAGTGCATGGTGTAATGGTTCAGCAAAAACAAAGCTTCAGCCATTACATGTATATTTGTTACTGAATAAAGTATTATGGCTCCAACATTTTCTCTCTTCTTTTCTGGACTATGCTTGTTATTTCTCGTTGTTTGGTCACATAAATACTCTCAGTTGAATATCTAGGAAAATGTCACCATCTATGATTAATGAGGACTCATATTGTGATGTCTACCATTCACACACACAAACACACACACACACACACTAAACACATTTCTTGAGAAAACAATACTGTTAAAACTGAATTAGTTATTACATTCAAACAGTGGTGACTGGAGAGTATAAGGCCTCAACAAGGATGAGTTATGACAAGATATATCCAGAAGAAAGAGTGGAAATTACAACCAACAATCAGACTCATTGTAATCATATGTAATCATCTCTTAGATTTCATGGTGCTACTTTATGGGGCCCAAAATAATCGTGTAATTATTCTCATGACCTGTGTCCTAGATATTTTCAATCTGATTTGAAGATTACTGATTGTTTTTAATATGTAAAGTAACATAAAGATGCCTAAAAAGCAAATAATCTAAATAATAGGTTACTTTTAGCTCACAAAATTATGACCTTAAAGTAAACAAACCACTTAAGCAATCATTCTGGTTAATGCTAAAAAAGCAGTTGCACTCTTAAGAATCTTATTTTAAGAAATGTTTCAAATGTATGTCAAAAAATGTCCAGAAAACAGTTCATTAACTTACTAACAATGATAGCAATCATTTCAAGTAAATAAGCAAGTTTCAGTTGCTGACATGTATATGTACTGTTGGATTTTATAGCTTACGTCATGCTCACCTTACCTGTCACTTTGAGAGTTGTGGGTGTGATCGGATACCTTGAAGTACCTTGTGTGCGAGACTGTCAGAAATCTTTCACAGTGTGTGTTGGTTTGTTTTGGTGTATTATAAGTATATTTGAATCACAGGTATTCCTCACCTCAACAAATGAGAGCATTTAGAAGAGTCACTAAGATTGTCTAAGACATATTTTTACTTGAAACTACAATGACCGTGACATAATTCATTATTTATTCTTCTTTCTTTTTCTTTCCCATTTTTATAGATCATCTTCTGGAAAGGTTAGTCCAGAAAGTGTCCGCTCCATTGGACCTCCTTCAGAGTCCTCAGAGGATGGTTTACGAGCTAAGAAGTTTCCTCAAAGTCCTGCCAAGGAGAAGGAGCTGTCTTTATACAAGAAGACCAAGAGAGCAATAATTAGCAAGAAATATAGCGTCTCTAAGCACGAGGCAGAGGCTACCACGCCAATCGAATTGATCAGTCGTGGCCCAGATGGGCGCTTTATCATGGAACCTACAGCGGAAACTCCAGTTAAGGCACGGCGCATTGAGGGATTCCCCTTCGTTGAGGAGTCTGACCTGTACCCTGAATTTCGACAGTCAGATGAGGAGAATGATGATCCGGGGCCCATGCCGCCTATGATGGCTACCCTCAGACCCCATCAGATCTCCCCCATTTCTTCTAGCCAGGAGTCTTACTTGCAGCCCCCAGCCTACAGTCCCCGCTTCCAGAGGCCAATGGAAGGCATGACTATCATGGAGAGCAGTCGACTCCAGGCTACAGGGCAGATTCGTGGTGCTCCTCACTTCCGAGCCTTTTCCCATGGCCAGTTCTACAGCTACTTAGGAAGTCCAGGGGAACCTGAGCCTCCACCTCCTTTCTACATGCCAGACACCAGCCCTCTCAGCTCAGTAATGTCTTCTCCTCCTTACCACCTGGAGGGACCTTTCGGTCATCCCACCATCCCAGAGGAAATCGGTGAGGGAGAGATTCAGCATTATGCAGTCTCTGGCTACACCCTTCCCTTGGCGCACCCCTCCACCTCGCGCTCCCCAGACATCTGGCAGCGACCTGATTTTACCTTTGCCACAATCGAGGGTCCTCCCTTTATTTTTCCACCCCCACACCCTTTGCATCTTCATCCGGAACCTCCCCTTCCTCCCCCTCTTGTTCTTCCTCCTAGTGCCCTCCAGCCCTCCACCCTTCAAGTATCTCCTTACCCTGGTATCCTGCAGCTGGAGGCCCCAAAGAGCCTCCCAGGCAAGTCTCCCAGCAAGGTCAAGCCTCAGGGCCTTCCAGCCAAGCGTTTACCTATGCAAGAGGCACAGAGTCTAGGGCAGCTAAGACACACAAGCCACGGTATGGGTGTACCGGTATTGCCTTACCCTGACCCGGTGTCTCACATGGTTGGCCCAAGCTCGTTCGGAAGCCTGGATACCCGATGGTACGAGCTTACACCCAGGCTTAGCCCAAGGCAGCCCCGTAGGATGGAACCCAGCATGGTAGTTCTCCAGCCATCCCGCCTCTCACCTCTAACTCAGAGCCCTATTAGCTCTCATGAAGGCTCACCGGAGATTGTAGTACGCCCCAGGCCCCGTCCCAGTGTCATCCAACCCCCGATCCCTCCAGAGATGTCTGAGATCACCCTTCAGCCTCCTTCTTCAGCTAGCTTCTCTAGAAGGTCCACCCCATCCTCCTCTCCTGCTCAAGGCCAAGGCAGCCGAAGGGCAAGTCCCAGCTACCGATCCCACATGGCATTTGCCACCTCAGCAGCAAGCTATCCGTCACAGTCCCCTTCACCTCCTGTAGAAAGCAGCAACATTTTTGGGCAGATGCCAACCCAGAGGAGGACTGAGGAGGAGATCCTTCCATCAGAACCCTCTCCACCCCAGTTATCAGCTTCAGGGTAGGTGCACTAGGTCTGTAGTTTGTGGATTGATAAACCATGTACCATCTGGCCTAAGTGTAACATCTAGGACCCTTCAGGGGTCTCAGTGCAGAAATAACCACACTTTTGATTTTAGTCTAAAGCTACAGTTTGCACACATGGGCAAAATTATGTTTGCTGCTTGCCTTAAGCTGGTTTTAGTAATGTTAGAACTCATGCTTTCATAGATACACTGCCCCAGATGCCTTGCTTTATTCAAAACCATTTAAAAAACATTTTCTACATAGACAAGTTGTACTATAGTTTTCTATGCCACTAATTCTGCTTTTCATGTCAGGCATCCAATTTCATTCATAAGGTCTGTGAAGCACTTTAAAGCACTTGTCTTAGATCAAAAGTGAGCGACATTAACCAAATGTGGTTGAGGGGTAACCGATTCAAGTCAAGTCAAGATGAATTATTTGCTTCACAGACGTGGTGACAGACCTTTTAGGGCTACGTGTCTGGAGAAGTTCCATTTTAAGTTGATTTAAAATGCAATAACGAAGCCCCTAAAAAGCCTGGAATCAGAGGTACACCACCACAGGATCTCAGCCTTTCCATTCACTGTCATGCTTTACCCTGCCTTTCACCCAACAGGAGGAACCCCACATGTGCAATAAAATTGACCAATCCCAGTTCAAATGAAGCCCACTGTTTTGACTAACTCCAGGCTTTTTAGGACGACTCTCAGAATGTATGATGTAGAGGCTGAGGTTGGTGTGTCCAGTACAACAGGCACAGGGCTCTTCTCCTGTTCCAAAGTAACCTGACAGCATGATTGCCTTTTCAACACTCCCCCCTCTCTCCTGCCTCCTGTCACCCCAGCTCTGACTGCCAGGGGTGGCTTGTTGGGCGAAACGTGTTGCAGGGACTGTCTGCTCTCATCTGTTGCTATGTCGCCATCATCTTAAATAGGGAATTTGGTCATTCTTGATGACTCCTTGAGTCTTACCTGCTTTGTTTTTGATTGATCTCAGCTATCTGGGCAGCGTTGTTGTGACCAGGTCTTCTACACCGCAATAGGTAAGGGTTGGATCCATGTCTGAAAGGGGGGGGGCAGCAGGTGGGGCTTTTATTCACCTCGTCCTTTAAAGGGGAATACAAGTCTTTGGGTCTTGCTTTCCTTTCGATTATTACCAAGTTTACAGATTTTTTTATATATTTGTTTTCAGATATCCACATATTTTAGTTCTGCAGTCTTGAACCCTATATGCATTCTGGTCTTAGTATGCATATGTACGTTTCCCAGTTACTGATTAGGAAACCCAGCACATGTCATTTAATCAACACAACCTCATGCTTGAGATGCAATAAAAAAAAGAAAAAATGTCAAGAACAGAGCTATAATATTGATTTTATGAGAATTCGCCATTTAGGTAACCTTCCTGGTAAAATTCCTGTTTATAAAATAAATGTGCTTCTGAAAGAAGGTTTATATTAAATGACAACACAAACACTACTTGCAGTAGCTGGGAATTTGAACTCGACCTGGATAAAGGTGTTATTAAAAAATGTCAAGAACAGAGCTATAATATTGATTTTATGAGAATTCGCCATTTAGGTAACCTTCCTGGTAAAATTCCTGTTTATAAAATAAATGTGCTTCTGAAAGAAGGTTTATATTAAATGACAACACAAACACTACTTGCAGTAGCTGGGAATTTGAACTCAACCTGGATAAAGGTGACCATTTGTTAGGGACCGTCTCAAGCAGGAGTTGCATGTTATACTTCATTTTAGGTATAGGAGCTTTTTATTGCTTGAAAGTAATTCAAGTGATTTAAAAACCATGAGCCTTGCACAGACACCCTGTATAATAAAATGCTCCATTTTTTTGTATAATCATGATTGATCTAGTGTACACGCAGTGTATGCATAAAACTGCACTTGTTTTGTGTAAATTTGGACTGCAGAACACATTTCACAATCATGCGAAGCAAGTTTTCTTCCAAAACGGTTCCTGCACTTCCTTTACAATGGGGAAAGTACTATCGCACCAGAAAATGCTCCTTTTTAAGTTGTGGCTTTCACCCAATGAAGTGCTTTTCCAGAGTATTCCCCTTTAAAGTTCTGTTCCATGTGCAAATTGCCATGCATGCCATTGCTAAATATTGCTCTTCGGTTAAAAAAGAAACAAATATCTGATTAAATTCTTGTTACATTTGTTGTCCAAGTGCTTTGTTTTATTTTTCATTATGTGACTGTTCCCAAGTAGCCATTTTCCCCTCCCGCCATCTCTCCCCCTGTCAGCATGGTGAAGCCCATTGTAGACAGTATTCATGTCTATGAGCACATTTCTGACAATGCTTTGTCGCTGAGCTGTGATTTCCCCCCTCTACTAATGGCCTTTAATTTCTCTCGGCAGCCTCAGCAGAAGGACGGCCCTTCTATAATGCTATTTTTGTTATTTTATGTATGTAGAGTATGCGGGCTGCCGGTTTAAGTGCCTCCATTCTGTATTTGGATGGGAAGACTGTACATACAAACTTAAACGTCTGGGATGGATTGATAGTTTTTATATGTAAATGTTTTTATAAGTAATATTTTAAAAAGTACTTTACCATTACAGTATTATTCTATTATGTATTTAAGTATGCTCAGCCATTGTAATTACCCCAATCTATGTAATGATTTCTCAAAATTTCTCTTTAAACAGATACATAATGTTGCCATATTGAGGTATTGTACACATAAAAAAAAAAATTCCTAATGATATATAAAATATTTACATTTTATATATATTTATAAATGTAATTTTGGGCAGGAAATACCTGAAAAACTTTAAGTATACCTCTCTTTCCTCTCAAATAAATGTTTTGCATCATACTTACCATGATAAACTGGACCATGCCTGGTTGATTCATGGGTAATCTGAGTTGCCTGTAGGCCTATGGCAGCAGTAACTTAATCAAAGGCCATGTGATCACTACTATGCCCAGTTTAACACACATGGCGAGCCACCGCACTACCCTTCCCATGTGTGATGGCTTTGCCTCTCTTTGATTCCTGCACAGAAAACGTCGAGGTGCACCAAGTGGCTCTGCAGGGTCTGAGAGGATAGAAGCACTGAGATATCAACGAGTGAAAAAAGCCAAGAAAGTCGGCATCAACAGTAACAACTCCAAGACCAGACGAAAGATGGGTGAGGAACAAGTCACAAGCTACTATGGTTCATATACTATATGCCATATACATATACAATACTTAGTTTTGAAACAGAGCGATAATATGCATTTTTATCAAGTCAACATATTTATTAAGTGTGAGCATCATCTATTAAGTGAAAAGGAGCATTTTCCTCACGGGTCATTTAAAATATACAGAGTCAGTGATGCATTTTATGTTTGTAGGGCACTGAGGTGTGAGAAGGCGGTGTTAAGAGAGACTCTTCATAACAGTGGTTCTCCACATTGAAGTGCTCTCAGTGCTTCTTTTAACATGATAAAACCCTTTCCTAGAATACAAGCGGTCACTGGCACTGTACTGATGATGATCTGTGCCGTATACTGCTTTTTAACAAAATTATTCACTTCATTTATCCAGGCTCATGATACTTTATACCATACTTTATGCACACATTGTAATATTTCATTATCACTGCAAAATGTAAGAAATAAGAGCTTATACTTGACAAAATGTTGATTCCCCCCCCTCTCTAATTATCTAAGAATTTAAATTAAGGTTTTTGCATTGGTTTTCAACTGGTTCCACTTCATGACCCAGATTTTACAAGTAGCAACCCAGTTAACACAGCAGTAAAATTGTTTCACTTAAAAGAAAAGTCATTTAAAATTCTAATACATTATAAAATTAATTTCATATTTCTGGCATGCAACAAATGTTTATCATAAGATAACGTAATGTGATCTGTACTTTCTTTAACCTTGTGTAATTTTGTTCATGGTTAGGTTTAGTGACGCAGCTTTTATCAAGTGACAGATGAATTTGAAGCAAAATATTATAATTATATATATATATATATTTATGCTTTTGCTCTCTCTCTCTCTCTCTCTCTTTATATATATATATAATATATATATTATAGATTATATAATAATTACCATTATTTAATATATATTTTGGTAACTTTACAATAGGGTTTCATTTGCTAACAGTGGTTAATGCATTAACTAACATGAACAAACAATGAACAATATATTTTTACAGCATTTGTTAATGTTAGTTAATATTAATTTCATATTTCTGGCATGCAACAAATGTTTATCATAAGATAACGTAATGTGATCTGTACTTTCTTTAACCTTGTGTAATTTTGTTCATGGTTAGGTTTAGTGACGCAGCTTTTATCAAGTGACAGATGAATTTGAAGCAAAATATTATAATTATATATATATATATATTTATGCTTTTGCTCTCTCTCTCTCTCTCTCTCTTTATATATATATATATATATATATATATATATATTAGTGCT